CAAAGTCACAGCAGTCCCAAGCAAGCAGGGGCGGGGAGCGTTTGCAAGCTCTGTTGGAGAAAATGGAAAGGGAACAAAATAGCCCAGGCAAAGGGGGGGGGAACCCCTTGAAACTGACCAGAGTTTAAAATAGACAAGGCAGCAGCAAAGCTTTTTTAAAAGCCTGGAGTATCCGCTGTGCGGCCAGAGGGATCGACTGGGGGAGGGGATGCTCTCTTGCTCCCAAAGGTGTCCCTGGTGCATGTCCTAAAATAGCCTGACGTTCCCCCCCCCCCCCAATGTTTGAAGGAGGAGGAATGCACAACACAGTATTTATTTATTTTTAAATTACCATTGCACAGACATTATTTCTGGCAGAGAGCAATGGCCACCGACCAGTGGTTTATTTCTAAAGGTTAGAAAAAGAAGTTCCCACTTTGGAGTAGGGAGCGTGGTCCCTCGCCATGATTTCTGTTGTCAATGACTGTGTTCGGCCGGGAAAGGGGGGGGGGAGACGTTTTCTCTGTTGATGATTAAGCGTGCAGGAGGGGGGGGATTCTGGGTGAATGCTGCCGTTTGCCGCCAGTTGCTGAGCAGCTGAGTGTGGAGAAGATGGAGAGGGAGGGCAGCTGGAGCCAGCCTCTCTGTGTTGGAAACGGAGATGAGCACTGCAGCCCTAGAGTCAGATCTGACCAGCTTTCGAGCAAGTGAAACCTTTACCATTACCGTTGCCTAGCTCACAAAGTAGAATTTTTGCTCACAAGACTCCACAGTTTAGAGGGAGCATTAATCCTATCCCTAAATTTTCATGGCAAAACAAAAACAAATGGGCAGTGGCGATTTACACTCTTGATTTAGCATTCCGATGTTAGTCTCGTGCAGCCATATTTTTTTAAAAAAAGAATGGTGGTTGTACAGCAGTGAAGGAGGGGGGAGGCAGAAGGTGGGCGAGTGGGTGGAAAGACTTTGATGTGGGCAGGGAAGCTGGCATCAAGGGGGAGCAAAGGGGAGGGGGGAATCAGATTAAATAATTCTGCTGTAAAAATCGCGCCGACTTGTAATCAAATTTATTAAAAAGTAGGGCTCAGAAAACATGGGCAGGGGGGGGGAGCAGACTGAAAGCAAAGCGAGCACTAAAGGGAGGGTTTTGAAAGAGATGCTGAAACAACCCTCCCCCAAAGGACATGGGCACCAAAAGCAAAGGAAAAGGCACATGCATAACAGGCCATACAACAGTGTAATATCAGTTTGACCACTAGAGGGTGCAAAACGCACACAGAACAGAACAGAACAGACACACACACACACACACACACACACACACCCGAAGAAACAGGAACTTACAAGTCAGGAAAATTAAAATGCAGAATAGCCCCTTGTTAGGTGCACATTTAGTGGCCAGCGTGGATATCACTTGCTAAATGACCTTAGTGCTACAGTTGGACTGGAATGGGAAAAACTGTATCCGGCATTCGTGAGGATGTTATTTCACTTGCACGTCCAGACGGTTTGGAGAATTTGCTGCTTCCGGCTTGTGCGGAGGACCTCTTTCCTTCCCGGTCGAGCACCACAGTGGTCTTGAACTCCCATCTTTTTATCTGATGCGATTCCCCTCCTCTCCCCCACAGAATATTATGTGCTGTTTGAAGAAAGCATCTTCGATCCAGGCCAGTGGCATACTTTGACCCATGTGCCCGGCAACCAGCAGTGGGCCAAGCTCCACCTCTCGCCATACGGGAAATACCGCTTCCGCGTGCAGGCAGCCAACGCCTACGGGCGCGGTAATCAAAGCGACAGCTCCGATCTTTACGAAACTAGCCCAGCAGGTAAGGCGTCCCGAGGCACTGTGGAGAAATGTGTTGGGGTGACAGCGTTCTGTAGGCAGTGTCCCTTGTAGGAGAAAACAGGGGTTGTTGTGTAAACTAGGAACAGCGGACTTCTGGGTCAGAAGGCAAGCGACGGAGGCAGTGAACCCCGTAATGCTATTAAGAAGCTGAATGACCTTGGTGTCAAATTTTGAGTAATACACAGCTCGATTCAAGCCCAGTAGCTCCTTGGTTGCCAGGTGCCTACTGTCTGCCGGTGGGGGGGCTCCTGGCTGCTGTCTGGGGTCTTCCGGCACGCACACCACCATGACATCCATCGGAAGTGAAGTCATCGTGCCAGGCACATTGTGTAGAGGACACTCTAGCGTTCGGCCAAAAACTCTGTGGTCACCATAGAGTTTTTGGCCGAACGCTAGAGTGTCCCCTGCACGACGTGCCCGGTGTGATGACATCACATCTGGATGATGTCATCATACCGGTCCTGTCAGGCACGTGGAACTCTTCGGGGGCAGGGCTCCCCCCGATGGCCAGCAGGCCGGCGGGTGGTTTGGGCCCCCCAAAATCGGGGGGAAACCCGCCCCCATCGGGGGGATGGCAACCCTACCTTGGAGATCGACGAGATTTCAGGATATGAGGCTTTCGAGAGTCAAAGCTCGTGGAACTCTTCGGGGGCAGGGCTCCCCCCGATGGCCAGCAGGCCGGCGGGTGGTTTGGGCCCCCCAAAATCGGGGGGAAACCCGCCCCCATCGGGGGGATGGCAACCCTACCTTGGAGATCGACGGGATTTCAGGATATGAGGCTTTCGAGAGTCAAAGCTCCGTTCATCAGCTATACAGTATCTGAGTAATATGCAGATGCAGAAATAGGGAGATCTGGTTCAAGCCCCAGCTAGGTCACAACCCCCATTCGTGCTGTTAAATATTGTGGAAGGTTGTAGACAGCTTCATGACATAAGAAAATGCCTTTATCCAGCCTTGATTAAAACGTAGAATTTACTACCAGATCTAGTGATGGCCACAAGGCGTCGATGGCTTGAAAAGGGATTAGATTCATAGAGGAGAGGTCTGTCCGTGGCTACTAGCCGTGGTGACTAAAGGGAACCTACATGTTCGGAGGCCAAAAAAAACCTCCAGTACCCATGCAAGGAGGCAACATCAGGGGAAGGCCTCAGCCTCTGTGCCCTGTTGGCCACTGTGTGAGGCAGGATGCTGGACTAGATGGACCACTGGTCTGATCCAGCAGGACTCTTCTGATGTTCTTATGAAGGCCTCAGCCTCTCTGCCCTGTTGTTGACCCTCCAGAGGAACTGGTTGGCCACTGTGAAAGGCAGGATGCTGGACTAGATGGGCCACTGGACTGATCCAACAGAACTCTTCTTAGGTTCTTATGAGGGCCTCATCCTCTCTGCCCTGTTGCTGGCCCTCCAGAGGGAACTGGTTGGCCCCTGTGTGAGACAGGATGCTGGACTAGATGGACCCTCACTGGTCTGATCCAGCAGGACTCTTCTAATGTTCTTATGAAGGTCTCAGCCTCTATGCCCTGTTGTTGACCCTCCAGAGGAACTGGTTGGCCACTGTGAAAGGCAGGATGCTGGACTAGATGGGCCACTGGACTGATCCAACAGAACTCTTCTTAGGTTCTTATGAGGGCCGGCCTCTATGCCCTGTTGTTGGCCCTCCAGAGGGAACTGGCTGGCCCCTGTGTGAGATGGGAGGCTGGACTAGATAGACCCTCACTGGTCTGACCAAGCAGGGCTCTTCTAATGTTCCTAGGCTAACCTGAGTCTTGGAGGCAAGGTGGGCCATTGATGGCAACTGATAAATAAGGCGACATAACTCTAATCTGTTACTCTCTAGCCCCCGACCTGAATCCATCCGGAGTCAAAGGGGAGGGAAATGAGACCAGTAATATGATCATCACCTGGAAGGTAAGAATGATGGAGACACTCTTGCATGGCTGGGCTTGGTGTGTCTCTTCTCACATTCTCTAGGGAGGGGCCGTGGCTCACTGGTAGAGCCTCCGTCTTGCATGCAGAAGGTTCCAATTTCCATCCTTGGCCTCTCCAGCTGACAGGGTCCGATAGTGGTGGTGGAAAGCGCCATTAAGACACAGCCCGCTCATGGCGGCCCCAGAGGGTTTTCGAGGCAAGAGACGTTAAGGAGTGGTCCTGCCATGGCCTGCCTCTGTGTAGCAACCCTGGACATCCTTGGAGGTCTCTCCTGTTTAGCTTCCGAGAGCTGTTTTTTGGGTTTTTTTTTTAAAGGATTTCAGAGATTTTATTTTGTGTTTGTCTGGATTCCCCCCCACACACACACACTCAAACAAAACTTTGTTAACAAATATAAAGAAGCACAAATATATATAGAATCATACACAACAATCAGCTGCATTAGAAATCTGTTACAGAGGAAAGTTACAATCACATATAAGCAACAAGTATCTAACAATGGAGATTTTGCCGCGTGAAAGGCACAAATGCCGAGCGGATTTTCGGGGGGCGATCACACCGCAGCATCTGGGAAGCGTAGCGCATCCGTGGCCAACCCGTGGCGTCTCACCGAGGATGCGGAGTTAAAAAGAACCAAGGAAAGTCCACTAGGGAGTCTGATCGCGGGAGTGCTAGTATCCCGTGGCATCCAGCGCCCGTCCACGTCCCGTCGCAAATCAGATGTTTTTCGTAAGCGCATGCGCACAAACACGAAGCTGAAAGCAGTGCTGCTTTGTGGAACTGCGCGTGTGCACAAACGCGAAACGCTTGTGTGATCGCGCCGCACCGCTTCTTTGCCACGCTGCAGCATCGCCGTGTGATCGCCGGCTAACAACCTAAGCACGGAGACCACGCTTTATTTTGGTCCGGGACGAACAGCCACGCCTCCCCCCCCTCTGGCGTTATCTGGCCCGTGTGACCTGGGCCAATGTTAAACTAATCAATATGCAGCATTTATAGCTTCTAATACAGATTCAATTTTCTTTTGGGATGCAAGGTATTCTAAAACTGGGAACCCTACTCTAGCAAACCTTGAAGAATAAGGATCCGTTTCGCTTTGTGTCAAGGAGTCTGATAACTTCTCCATTATACAGTATTCTTTCTTTATTTATTTATACATTCAACTTATATACCCCTCTGACCCCGAAGGGTCTCTGAGCGGTTTACAGGCAAGTTTCAAATACAATTCAATCCCTATCTAAGGCCACATAGTCCAGGGGTGGGGCTGCCTACTGGCACCCAGGTGGCAGGGCTTGTTGTTCTCCGGCTCCGACTTCTTCCTCCGGCGGTCTTCGGGGTCGGCGTCCCGTTTCTGGTGTCCAGGAGCAGGTTCTTCAGCTCGGTGGTCTCCTGGCGTGCGTCCCGTGTCAGTCGCAGCCCGGCCAACGTCCGTTCCCGGCTCTGCCGCGCCTGCGCCTCCACGTCACCGCGCCCCTCCGCGACTCCGCCTCCGCGGAATTTTTGATAACCAGTCAGAGATCGTAGGATATTTATCATGTTTCCAAAACCCAGCGATAACTGCACGTGCTGCCGCACAAAGTATTTCTATCAGATCCGAATTAGATGAGTGTTGGTTAACATCTGGCCAACAATTCAGTTTAAGGAATTCCATTTCCACGGGTATTTCAAAGTGAGTTATCTCGTATATATATTTAGTAACTGCTTTCCAGAATTTTTGTACCACGGTGCAGTCCCACCAACCATGTTTAGATGAGCCCGTCTCTTGACATCCCCTCCAGCATAATGAAGAGGCGCCTTTTAGAGTACGGCTCGTTTTTTGAGGAGTTAAGTACCACCTTGTGATAAGTTTAAAAAATTGGGAGCTTCCAAGACCTGAT